GACGGGCCGATCTGAACCGACACGCCCTGAAAGCGCAGCTGCCGTCAGATCCCAAAGACTCAGAATGAAAGCGAGAACGTAAAACAGCTCATTATTTTTTATATCAATGACATCTGAAATAACGTTTGGGATATATTGGTGTAATTAAACATGTTGTTAAAATTAATTTCATGTGGGTTTTATTGTTTTTTAATGTGGCTCTGAGAAAATTCACAGTCACACGCGTGGCTGGGATTGGTGGGTCACATCACGTGTCTGTGGGACAGGGCGAGGCCCGGCAGCAACGCATCCCTCAGGGCCTGGAACACAGGCGGGGGGAGTTTAAATACAGATGGGGGAAGTTGAGGCGGGCGGAGCCCAGCAGGAGGGGCGTGTGAGGGTGCAGGGGGAATGGGGGTCAGAGAGGCAGCAGGCTGGAGACTCGGCCACCGTCCACCGCACAGAGCTCTTCACCTTCCCGCCCTCCGCACCCACATCTGCAAGCACGAAGGACGGCCAGAGATGATGCGGGGGCCTAGGACGGCCCCCAGGGTCCTGGGCCCCCCATACCTGGGGACAAGGAGGCCCCTCCCTGGGCTCTGCGGAGGGGCTGCCCTCTGTCCCGTCCTGTGCCGTCCGCCTCCTCCAGGCCCCCTGCTTCCCGGTGCTGGGAACTGACTTGTCCACTCTAACCAGGAAAGGAGGCGGGAGACGGCGTTCATGAAGACCCCATCGCGCGCTGTGGCTGCAAACTTGGGCTGGTGGAGCAACCAGGGGGCTGCGGCTTGAGAAGCACCTTCTCCTCCCACCTGGCTCCCAACACCTGCCAGCAGCGGGAGGGAGGGAGGGAGCGGGATGTAGCACAGACGCCACGGCCAGCCATGGGCTGGGGCCAGGGAGCCGGCAACAGCCCTGGCCAGGGCGTCCCAGGGGTTCTTTCCCTGAACACCCTGCTTCACATTTACGTGCGAAATAAGGACGTTCCAGGTGAAGACAGCCAATAACGCCCAATTCCCCGTATGCCAGCAATGGTCAGGGGTGCATATATACAAAACAAACTCAGGCCGGTCCGAAGGCAGTGAGTTATCTCACTTGATTGTTCACAGTCAGTTACAGATTGAACTCCCTGTTCTACTACTTAACCCCCCTCCTCACTACTGCACTTGACTAGTCTTAAACAAAAAATAAAAAAACAAATTCATTTCTCGCCATTATACATGTATATATTTGTATATATATTATATAAAGCTGACCCTTGAACATCGCAAGGGTTCGAAGTCCCCATCAAAGTCAAAAATGACTCCCCCGGAATTTAACTCTTCACAGCCTACTGTTGACCCGAAGCCTTACTAATAACAGAGTCAACGAACACACATCCTGTATGTTACACATACTATATGCCGTATTCCTACAATAAAATGAGCTAGAGAAAAGAAAATGCGATTAAGAAAATAAAAAAGAGAACAACGTATTTACTGTTCATTAAGTGGACAGGCCTTCATCCTCATCCTCTTCACGTTGAGTGGGCTGAGGAGGAGGAGGAAGAGGAGGGCTTGGTCTTGCCGTCTCAGGGGTGGCGGAGGCGGGAGAAAATGCAAAAGGTCACAGGCCGTAGGATTCCGTTTATATGAAACAGCCGGGTTGCCGGGAGCCGAGGGCGGAGAGAGGGGCAACTGCTCACAGTCAAGACTCAGGTCCTCCCAGGAGACTGTAAATACTCGGGGGCTGCGGAGACTAGAGATGCTTTGGGGAGCAGTGGATTTCCCCACGTACCTGTGGACGACGTGAGCGTGCTCTGTACAGAAGGCCTGGGCGTGGGTGAGCAGGAGACTGTGCGAGCAACCTCAGGGGTGTCTGTTCACGCCCCCCAAAAAGCAGGTGCCAAGACGAAGAGCGCAAGAGGTCTGCTGAGGAAACACTGCGGAGGACAAGGTGGAGAGCAGGAGGGCTCAGCCCTGGAGGCGGGTCCCACGCCTATGTGAGGAGGTGGAGGAAGCGGGGCTGGAGAGGGGGCCTGAGACCCGCCCAGTGCCAGTCCCGGGCCAGCACCTACTCCAGAGGAGCCCACGCACACTGAGCGCCAGCCCTGCACGAGTGTGCCCAAAAGCTCCGTCATTGGCTGGGGGCAGCTCAGGGGACTCTTGGCTTTGGAGTGAACAGAATGGTGGATCCAGGAGGTGACAGCTGGGTGACCCTCTCGGGCCATCTGGGGACCCTTCAGGGACCCCAGTTCCATTTGCAGAGACAGGCCAGGAGACATTAGAGGAATTGTACCTTTATGCTTTGGCAGGATGACAAATCAACAAGACGAACAGGAGGGTTTCACTGTTTGTTTTCACTATGTTAATTTAATTTTAATAATATCTTTCATCATGAAAAAAGAAAACACTGGATTTGACCAGCCTCCTGCCAGCCCGCATCCTAGCTTCTCCCACCCATGGTCCTCTGACCCGAGGGTGCCCATCACATGCCCCCACTTCCCAAAGACCCTCAGCCCCTCGACATCACCAGTGGCCTCCGCGTAGCGGAAGGCCTCCTCCTGTCCTTACCCCTCCAGAGCGTTGTCACGGAGACCAAGGCCACCCTCCTTCTGAATACCATCTGCCTCTCTTGCAAAGAACCAGATTGGGCCTTAGTTGATGCTCAAAATTGTACCTTTGCTTTAAATTCCATTACTTTCCGCCCTTATCTTTACTTCCTTCTTCCGCTGTCATTTGGGTTCGTTCGATTGTACTTTTGTAACTGCCCAAGCGGGGTGCCTGGGCTATCGAGGTGCAGCCTTTCTCCTTCTCTAATACCGGCATTTGATTCTGTAAATATTCTGGCATGGTCCTCAAGTTTGATACCAGGTATCTTCACTATTTAGTTCTAAGCGTTTTCTAATTTCTTTCAATGAGGAGTCAAGAGCATGCATTTACATCCGCACATTATCCTCACACATCCACCAAGAGAAAAAGGAAAGTAAGTTCACAATAAACGTGCACATGTATTGCCCTTTTAGTTCTTTTCACGTTGTCGATTTTACTTTTGCTGCATTTTGGTCACAGAAGACCAAGAGGATGCCGATACGGATCCTCAGGACGTATTAAGAATTGTTTTATGCCTCAGAAGATCAACTTTTGTCAGAGTTAAATGTGTGTTTGAGATGAATGCACTTTCTCTTAAACCTAGTTTTCAAATTGTTGTTCAAAATTTTTATGTCCCTACTAAATCATTGTCTGCTTGATCGAAAATTAATAACTGTAAGATTGGTGAATTTCTCAAAATCTTCTAATTGTGTCATTGCGGCTCGTGTAGATTAAGACAATACTATCAAGCGCATAAGAGTTTAAAATTGGTCTCCTGATGAATTAACTCTTCATGTGCTGTAAGTCCAGTCACTTGTGTTTTGATATCACACACCAAGAAGGAAACAGCATCACTGCAGTGATGTTCCTGCAAAACACGTAACGGATTCAACTGCGAAGAACATCATCCAAACCCAAACTGAGGGGCATTCTGCAGAATAAACGTCAAGATCGTGAAAGACTCAGACATGCCAAGATGTTCCAGATTAAAGAGACTAAACAGGTAAGACAATTAAATGCAATGAATGAGTAAACCGCGACTGGACCCTAGACCAGACTTTCTTTTCTCTAAAGCAGTGGTCCCCAGCCTTTTTGGCACCGGGCACTGGTTTCATGGAAGACAATTTTTCCCAAAACTGGGGGGTGGGAAGAATGGTTTGGGGATGAATCAAGCGCATCACATTTATTGTGCAGTCAAACCTCTCTGCTAACAATAATCTGTATTTGCAGCCACTCCCCAGCGCTAGCATCACCGCCTCAGCTCCACCTCGGATTATCAGGCGTTAGATTCTCATAAGGAGCACAACCTAGATCCCTCGCACGTCCAGTTTACAGTAGGGTTCGCGCTCCTGTGAGAATCTAATGCTGCAGCTGATCTGACAGGAGGCGGAGCTTACGCGGTGATGTGAGTGAAGGGGAGCGGCTGTAAATACAGATGAAGCTTCGCTCTCGCCTGCCACTCACCTCCTGCTGTGTGGCCCGGTGGGTTCCTAACAGGACATGGACGAGTACCAGTCCGCAGCCCATGGGTTGGGGACCGCAGCTCTAAAGGCATTATTGGGGCTGAGAAAATATTATTGAGTCTATAGAGTAGACAGCAGTATTGAATCAATGTTAATTTCCTGATTTTGATAATTGTCCTATGGTTATGGAAACGAAGAGAATATCCTTATTCTTAACAAATACTATAGCTATCTTGGCTAATCTAGCACTGAGCCACTGGCCAGGACCACCACAAGTGATTACCGAGACCCCACGAGGCCTGCCCCGCCCAGCCCACAGGAAACACACGCCCCATGTGATGAGAAAGGAGGTCAAGGTGCATACAAGAGGAACAGGCTTTTCTGGAGAAATTTACCAGCTTGTTTTTTTTTTTTTTTTGAGACAGTCTGGCTCTGTGGCCCAGGCTAGACTGCCATGGTATCAGCCTAACTCACAGCAACCTCAAACTCCTGGGCTCAAGAGATCCTCCTGCCTCAGCCTCCCGAGTAGCTGGGACTACAGGCACGAGCCACCACGCTTGGCTAGTTTTTTCTATATATTTTTAGTTGTCCAGATAATTTCTTTCTATTTTTAGTAGAGACGGGGTCTCGCTCTTGCTCAGACTGGTCTCGAACTCCTGACCTCGAGTGATCCTCCCGCCTCGGCCTCCCAGAGGCTAAGATTACAGGTGTGAGCCACTGCGCCCGGCCCCAGCTCGTTTTTAATACACACGGATTTAAAAGGGACCTTAAGTTAGGAGCTGACAAACTTTTCTGTCAAGGGCACATAAATATTTCAGGTTTTGCAGGTCACTTGGTCTCTGTCCCACTTTGCCGTTGTAACAAAAACCAGACACACACACGAGACGCTGACAGGCGTGACTACATCCCAGTGAAAGTTTATTCAGACACTGAAATTGAATTTCATGATTTTCACATCATGAAATATTATTTTGGTTTCGATTTGTTTTCCATCATTTTAAAAACATAAAAACCATTCATCACTCAAAGACCCATAAAATCAGGCAGGGGCAGCATCAGACTCGCAGGCCAGTTCGCCAAGCTCTGTCTTGAGCGAAGACCAAACCTGAATTTCCCCTGAAACCGAGACTTTCAAAGCAGATGACTGAGAACACGTGCCCCTTGCCAGGTGCCCCCAGAGTGCGGACGAGGTCCCAGGGGCGGCCCTCTGCTCTGGAACTGCTGCAGCGTGGGAGATGGGCCCAGGCACTTCACAGACAGCACTGTTTCCAGGTCAATGTTAAAAGAAAAGGCACTTATGAAAGATGTGAATCATTCCACCTTTTGAAATACACAAAAGGATTTTGTTCCTAAGTCCCCAGTGAAACCCCACACCGAAGTCATCACCAACGTGCACGGCTATTCCCACGTCTGAGACGTAACCAGAGGGGGCAGGAGCCAAACCAGAAGCCCGGCAGTAAAAGAACCTCATCGTGCAGTGAACACTTCAGTCACAACGGCACGTGTACCAAAATGCCTGGCTCAACATATTTTGAAACTCGTTCCACGTGCTGTGCTAAACATTTCCGGAAAGTTGCAAAAAGCTTGTCCTTACTGATCGGTGATTAGAATTCAGCTGACAACCCGGCCGCTCTGCAGCCTATGCAAAGGTCAAATCAAGTAGTAAATACGCATGACATCATCAACCATTCCTCTGCAAAGCTGGGTTTCTAGCCAGCGCCCGTGTCCTCGCACTTCCTGAAAAAATCCACCTTGTGGGCCAGCTCTGCCTAACAGAGCGCCCTGCGATGACAGGCACGTCTCTGCACTTCCCACGTGGGAGTCACTCGCACGTGCTGAGCACAGGAAACGTGGCTGCAGCTGGGAGGAGCAGAGGAGCTGATTCTGCCAAGTCTCAAGGTCCCCACGTGGCAAGTGGCCACATGCACAGCAGCGCACCTGGAGGGAGATGGTGGGGCAACGTGACAACGTTTTTGTGGCCAATACGTCACCACGAAAACGTCTGCCCGCAGATCTTCCCTGGAGAAAGACGCGGCCGGCAGGAATGGTGTCGTGGGTACAGTAGAAAAATCAACAAGTGCCTCTTCTGCGGGTTCACGCATTGCCCCCAACAAGGAGATAAAGCGCTTCGAGGAGCCTCTGCTCCCCTGCAGTGTCTCAGTTAAGCCAACATCCTGTGCGGCTTCCCTTCAACAAGGGGGCACAGACACCCACAAAAGCCTGTGCTCAGCGACACAGAACATTCTAGAGCCCAAGAGACCATCGCATCCCCTGAGCCGTGCTGGCTGGGATCTAACGGCTGCCACCTTCTTCTTCTCAAAAGGAGCTGCCAGGGCGAGGGAGAAACAAGCACAAGCGGCCCCTGCTGTCCAGAGCTGTGAGAGCCACCGCTAGCCACAAGGGTCAGCAACTCCAGGCCACCTGCCCCGGCCTCATCTTCTTGGTCTGCCCGTTGGGCCCAGGCGGGGGACTCCGCCGCCGCCGCTTCTCCCGCTGCTGCTGCAGGCGCTCCTCCTTCTTCTGCAGGTAGGAGGTCATGTTGTCGAAGGTGGCCTTGTAGAGACCACTGAAGACGGCGTCGGCGCCAGCACAGCCTGGGACGGGAAAAAAAAAAAAAGCCCGGGGGGGCCAAGAACCGAAAACCAACCCCCAACAAGGGCCCCCGTGTGCCCAGAGCTCAGAATTCCCGCAAGGCCCTCCCGCAACAGGGAATTAACCCGGCGACACCCAAAGTGGACTGTGGACGGTGCCTTCTGAAATGCTCCCGTGGCGCCACCTCCTGACACCTCCCTATGGCTGAACTGGGGACCAGCTCCTGACAGAATGCGGCTCCCTGGGAAGCCAGGCACCGAGGCCGGGCCTGCACCCACCGGCGCTCTCCCACCCCGTGCCGAGAAGCCGCTGCCGCGAGCTGCCCCTCTGGAGACCGCGGCAGGCCCGGCAGCAAGGAGGGCCATGTTCCTCCCCAGTGCCCCTCCTCCTGCCACGCCCGCCCTCCTGCCTTCTGCATGGCGACACACAGATGCCACACATCCTGTTCACCGATCTTTCCTCGCGCACGCAGCGGGTCCCTACGTGGGGCGGTCTGTGATCTGCTGCTCTGCAGCGCTGGGTCCCTGACAGGCAGCCCCGTTCTCACCTGCCAGCATGGCCCAGTGCCCACGAAGAACGCCGCAGACGGTCTGCACTGCAGCACTTTCGGGAACCAACTAAAGAGGACAAATGGGACGTGTTCCTCAGGAAGGAGGACTGACCACCCGGCACCGCTCGCAACGCCCGCTGGGTGTGACCCACTGCCAGGCTGGGGAAGAGGTCAGGGCCAGCACCCTGGTGACCCCAGCGCTCCCCATGAAGACCCCACAAGGAAGCGCCGCATCCTGTCCCGACTGGCCCTGCTCGGGGCGAGCTCTGCCCAGGCTCAGGGGCCCCAGGAGCCCCGCGGCCCACATCACGAAGACAGCTGCTTTTCAGATAAAAACACCTGAATGGTTTAAGGGCGTCTCCAAAGCTTTGGCAGAAGAGCGGGGATCGCAAAGAACCTCCAACATTTCATGCACCTCACACCCAGCGGCCCCGTGAGACGCCAGATGGGCGTCGCCCCCACCTCACAGGGCATCGTCCACGGCCCTCACCCCTTCCTCCACCAGCGAGGCTCCTCGTGCCTGAGTGCCCAGCCCGAGGCCACGCTGACCAGCATCGGCACACTCGACTTTTTCACCAAAGCATGGCACAGGGAGCCCCAGGAGAAATACGCCAGTGACGGCAACCCCCCAAAAAGAACTGCTAGGGCCATCACCACCGGGACAAGCAGGCCGGGCACTCGGCTCCCCTCACCCACACCGAGGCCCCAGGCCTCTTGCCCCTCAGGACACAGCCCCTGGGACCCAGAAGTGACCAAGCTGGAAGAGGCTCATGTGCAGAACCAAAACCCTCACCGTCCCCTGCCAGGCCTATGGGACCACAGGGCCCAGACGCGGAGAAGCTGCCGAGCCTCACCTGCCACTGGCCGTCCACAGGCCTGCAGAGCACCAGCGGGTTCTCCCGGCTGTCCTGCAGAGCCCACAGCCCCTGCGTCTCCTCGAAAGCCACATCCCACACTCGGCGCTGGAACAACAGCCGCTGTGTGTACAGCAGCTGCCGCCTGAGGGCATCGAGCTGGAAGATGTAGACCGCAGGGATGCTTTCCCGAGGAAGAGAGGATGATTACTGAGGTCTATGTGGGCACCATCCCAGACACACCCAGCACCCAGCCCCTGGGAACACCGTCATCAGGGCACAACTGAGCCAGAAGACCCAGCCGAGCTGCTCCCAACTCCGTGACCCGAGACAACTGCGAGATGCCACGTTTGCAGTTTCAGGCCGTAGCTCTACGGCAACCTGCTGCGCAGCAACAGGTAACTGATACCGGGCAACGGGAGAGGGTGGAAGGTGCCATCCGCCGAGTCCCAGCAGACGGGACTCTGGTGCTGGGCTCAGTGCTGCCCGGCCAGCACTGCCGTCCTTCCACCTGCGTCCTGATTTCCAAAACAGCCGAGAAACTTCGCCAGGCTTGTCACGAGGACAAAACGGGAGGTGCAGGAAGCGCCAAACACCCGTCCTGGAACACGGGCTGCTCAGAAAGCTTCCGGGGAGTCACGCTCACGCCCACATCACCCATGAGCCGCCGACCCCCAGGTGGGTTCTGTCACCCTCACTTCTGCGGTGGGACTCACTGAGGTAGATGCTACCCACATAGAAGCCACTGCCACCCACTAACCCCGTGGGTTAAACACGGGCGAGTAAGAGCGCTAGCTTAGAAAGGAACCCACAGCCCACACAGCAATCGTCAAAAAGCGACATGTCCCAGAGAGAAGTGTTGTGCCAACATCACCGTCCACAGCCTCTGAACTGAGGGGACACAGCCGTGAGCTGACGGAACCACCCACACCGTTACTACCCCTGCAGGTCCGCGCTTACCAGTCACACAGCAATGCGACGCAGTCCTCCTGGCGCCAGAACGCGATCCTGGAGGCCGCCAACCTCTGAAAGGAACAGCAGCTGATTAACCGTGACCACCCGGCAGGACCCAGCGCGGGCCGTTCCGACCAAACCAGGAACAAACCGAAAGATGCTCACGGATCCCACGTAGCATCAGAGGGAAAGAGGAAGTAATGCTAGAACATTCTGGAAGGGGGGGGGCAACGGTGACTCCCTGGTTCTCAAATGGACCAAAATGCCACAACAGACAGCAAAGGCTGCTCCGCTGCCCTGGCACTCCCTGTACCTGCGAAATGCCTCCAAAAACCAACAGATGGGTCAAAAGACAAGGAGAGGGGAGAAGAGGGCGCACGCGGAGAAAGAATGAGATTATTAATTACGGAAACAACTGCCCGTTGAGCTCCGCACTTCCTGGCATAGGAAATACTAGACACGAACCCCCGTCAGTCACCTGACGTGTGGAGGGAAAGGCCTGGTGCCCGCCCTGCGGTTCCCGGTGGGAAAGGCTGACCCACCAGGACACTTAACCAACGCCGGGCGCTCGGGCTGCCGTGAGGTCACCCCCAGTGGACAGCCCTGCCCTGCTGGCAGACACACCTCGAAACCCTGAGCTCAAAACCACCACCTTTCCCACTTCCAAGTGGGATCAGAGGCCTCTCTAAACTAGCCGTTTGTGCGAACATGGCGGGACAGGCGCTGTTTCCCACTCACGTGCCCAGACACCTTCAGAACGTGAAATACGAGTGTCCCCCACGTAGGAAGAAGGCTGGCACTGACAGCACGACGGCTGAGCGACCATCCCGCACCCTACAAGCACCCAGTGGCCCCGGGGTGGACACGAACACCTACCTTCTGGCTCCAGGGCTCCGCCAGCTCTTGCAGACTGGCCAGGTGACAGCAGTGCAGTTGGTGGCCGCTTTTGTAGTCCCAGAGCCTCAGGGTGCCATCCTGTACACACCAAATGGACAGGTCAGCAAGCAGGACCACAGGGCTTCCGCCAGCTGTGGGTGACACAGAGACAGCTGGGGCGGGGGCTGCACTCGGTGACAGCCAGCACCACCCCACCAATGAAAGGCTCCCCGCTCACCTACTGTGTGAAGAGCTCACACACAGCACCAAGATAAACAGGTGATCCCACAGCAGAACGGGCCAAGGACACTGACGACCAGACTGTCACACACTAGGAGGTCAAGACCAGGTCTGCCGTGCTCAAACCAGGCATGGGCACACGCACAAGCGTGCACTGATACTTCCGGGATCATGCACTCACACAGGCACACGTGTGTACGTGTGAGCATGTCACCACAGTCCCACTTCACTGTTTAAAAGTGGGTGGAAAGGACAGGTCCATCGGCCACCATGGACAGTGTCGACCACGTGACCTTTCAGGACAACAACATATGCACCAGGGCTCTGAAGTGATCATCGTGAAAAAAAGAGTTTCTACTCAAAAAACCGTCATTCCAGCACTGATCTCAGCGGAGGGAAATGGAAAGAACCGGCCCGTCTGTGAGTGGCGGGAAACTCAGAGACGGAGCCCGGTCCACGCCAGCACCGACCGCAGCAACCCCCACGGGACTGAGCAGACAGGTGCAGACCCGCACACCTGGGGGCCTGACGCAGCTGAAACTGAGGGGACAGTGGCATCGTTTGTGAGTACTGTTAAATGACCAAAAGAAGAGAATGGATAGTATAATAAATACCCCAAACTGCTAACAGCAGGTATGTGTCCAGCGAGTGCTGGAGTATGAATGTGTGTGTACACACCCCCACACGTACATAGCCATACACGCTATGCACACCACACGCACACACTACAAACACACACCACATGCTAGGCACACACACAAACACCCCTTGCCACAAGTTTGGCAGATAAACATGAGACCGACACACACACCAAAGGTGTACACGCTCACCCCCAAACCTCTCTATGAGAAAAAGGTGTTTAAAAACCACAAACCCACCAGGACAGACGACAGGCAAGAAGAGAGGAAAAGAAAACAGCCAAAAGATGTCAAGGAAACCTGTGACACCAGAAGCAAATGAACAGGCTGCCCGCAGAGAAGGACGCTTTGTGGCAGTGTGAGCTGCAGACCAGGCAGGGACCGCTGGCCAGAAGGCGGGTGACGGGGGAGCCGTGCGAAGTCTTCCCCAAGAGCAGCTGGACCTCGCGATCCCTGCCCTCAGCCCCAAACTCTAAGCCAGCAGAAGACAGCGGTTCACTCGTTCGGGAAGAGGAGCCAGAGGGCCCCGGTCTCAGGGACGTCAGAGACACACTGAGGAGAGACACCTCCCAGGGCGCTGGGACAGGCGATGACGCCAGGCGAGAAGGCAGACCAAGACACTGGGCACCCGGAGAAGAGACGGACGGACCCACGTGCACGGCAGGGCCCTCAGGAGGCGGCTGCGCCCACGCCTGGACACCTGCTCTGACACCTTCCACACGACGCAGGCGCCTCGTCCCTGACACAGCGGGCAGAGGGGATCGCGGACACCTGAGGAAAACCTCCAGCGAGCAAGGCAGACACGCGCACAGCAGAGGAGAGCAACCCACGGCGAGCAGCAAAGCGCACGCTCCACCTCGGTGAGAGACAAAGACGCTGCACTCAATACAAGGACGGGCAGCTGAAAAAACATTCTGAGGACGAGGAAGAGCTCTTGAAAATTAAAAATAACAAAATAAAAACCGTTTTTAGGCTGGGCGCAGTGGCTGGCACCTGCAATCCCAGCACTTTGGGAGGCCAAGGCAGGGGGATCACTTGAGCCCGGGAGTTCAAGACCAGCCTGAGCAACACAACGAGAACTTACTTGTCCCTTAAAAAAAAAAAATGCCCATGTCTAGGGACCTCAACAGCTGATCAGCAGGTGCCCTGCTTCGAGGGCGTCCACCCTCCAGGCAGGCTGGCGGGTCCGTCCACCAGCTCGTGGGATGGGCCAGACCGCCAGGAGTCAGGGACGGTCTCCCTGTCAAGTGTCTTCAACTGAGATCCTGACGCTGTCGTAGATGGAGCAGCCGCCCTCGGAACACATGCCTTTCAGACCCATTCCAGTTCACCACACGTGTGGATGCACACACATGTACACACACACACACACACACACACACACACACACACACACACACACACACACACATACACAGCCCCGGCTGTGACCGAGGGCCGAACCACGGGCAGCTCTAAGAAACAAGCACCATCCAGTGTCAGCCACTGATGACTGGGGACGCGTGGACTACAGAACCACAGCTGGGAACAAAGGGCCGGCTCTGCAAGGTGACCCCCACCAACAGGGCTCCCACGCCGAGGCAGCCTGCGCAAAGCACTTACCCCGGAGGAGGACAAGAGCAGCTCAGGATAACCGGGCACCACGAAGATGCGGCTCACAAACCTGTGGCGAGACGAAGCAGGTGTCAGCCGCCCCAGCTGCCTGCAGGGGGGCCACCGAGAGAACCTTTGCCCGTCCCAAACCCCTGACCTCCAACGAAACCAGGCAGGATGCGGAAGAGGAGCATGTGTAAGCAGGTGACAGCCCCTGCACTGGGTGAGGCAAGTTGGACCACACCCCATGTCATCCTTGGGTCAACAACAACACGACGACCTCTAAGCAAGGGCAGGGCCCTGGGCCCAGCCACGCCTGCCGATGAGCTGTGCTCGGCGGCACCTGGAAGGCTCCCCAGCACCCACCCTGACCCAAGGCACCTGTGCTGAAGCCTGGAGACAGCAGAACCCAGGTGACACTCAGAAGACGGACCGCAGGGGAGGGCAGCGAAGCCGACAGGCAGCATCGGATCAGGGCCCCAACAGCCCCTTGATGACAATACGGCCCAGGCGGCAGGACTCTGACTGACCTGGCCAGACCTGTCTCTGCCCTGCCCAGCCCACCCTCGAGGGCTTGGCCCGCAACAGCACAGGACACAAAGTCCCAGCCACTCTGCCACCAAAACAGCCACCAAGAGTGAAACGAGCCACCCAGCTCTCCTGAAACCCATCTGGACGTGCTGGTCACGAACGTACACGTGTAGGAGGGACAATCCCATTTTTCTTCCTGCGCTAGGACCAACCTGGCCCTCACGGAGGGCCGCCTTCCACAAAGGCGCTGAAGTTCTACTCTCGGGTCCTCCAAAAGGGAAAATAACCGCCCTACACCCAGGACAGACAGCACAGCAGGTACGTCACAGAGGGTACCTGTGGCCTCACAGTTCTCAACAGGAAAGGCTGGAAACCACGATTTCCACAGGTTTGAAGCACAATTTTAAAAAATA